GTGCGGTTACCTTACTATTATCTGGGCTTACTATTATTTTTCTTGAGTTTCATCTCTGCTGGCCGATGGGCCGTCGATCCTCAACACAGCCTCAGGTACCGGTATCTCGAATACCTAATGTAATACTTGGATTGTTTTGCAGATCGGTAGGTGCCAAGCAGCAGCAAACGTCTTTTCAATCACTGGCGACTCCTCATTGGTTCATAAAAGGCCAGACATTCTCCACATTTTGGGTGCCCTTCTCTTGCTGTAATCATGGCGTCTCCTGCGCTCTCTCGCTCATATGGGCGCCGCACAAGTGGAAGCATGCTGTCGGCAGCAGAAGCGCAGCACACTTCAAGCCCACTTGAAGTTTCCATTGCGGGGCCGGCTGCTGCCCAATGGTACCGCACCGTACATTTACTGCTTCGCAGGAACTTGGGTGGCGCTCCTTTTCTTCCAAAGAATCACCAGAAGATCTCGCACCATTCGGAGTGTCTGGTTCGGGCTGGCGCTTATGATAGTCCAGAATGCAGCCAGCCGCAAACCAGGCGTTGGGAGAGACCCGTGAACGTGGAAACCTGCGGAGCAGTTAACGTAGACAATGGCAAAAGCTCGCTCCTAACCAGAGGGGCTCAAGGTGTCGCTACTGTCCTTTGCACAGCCGCACTGCTTATGGGCAGTCCGGGCATAGCTTACGGTGCGGAGAGGGGCGCTTTTGTAAGACCCGAGAGGAACGGGCCAATCATTGATGGGGCAAGCATCATTCCAGACGGAAGGGAAGGGGAGCTTGCGAATGGACTGGCGGAGTTTGCAGACCAGACAGGATGGAAGATCCGTAAGCCTGCTTCCCTAAACCAGAGCAGCTTCTATTCTTATTGGTGCACTGACAACTTCTGGATTGGAAGAGACTTGGGGTCTAAACTTCCTTACTTTGCCCTCTACCGTTTGTCGGTGAAAATGGATCAGATGAGAAGTTGGAACGCTCTCTCTGGCTGCAGACGGCAGCATTCCTGACTTCATTCCTCGCAGCTCAAATGAAGCAGGCAATCAGTGTCGATCCTGTACTCGAGAATCAATCTAGGTTTTTGTTGCTCCTGCATAACACTGGGGTTCGCTGATATGACGAACTAAGTGAGCGTCGGAAGCCCCATAAGAGTAAGCAAGAATAAGATGGAGCTCCCATTCTTGCAGGCATTGTAACCCGCAACGGTCCCGGCTCCTTCCCCTCGGGCAACGAGGTCCGGTCAGTCTGGAACCTCGACTCCCGCACCATCGTCGTCATCGATGACGTCAGCGCTCCGAACGTGCTCAACTTCAACACGGGCGACGGCGTGAGGGAAAAACTGCCCCGGCAATTCTTTACGGAACTTCAGTCGCGGTTCGGGAACCAATTCTACATTGCAGAAGAGGGGAATGCAAAGGCGTTGATGGAGACGGTCGGCGCGTTGAGGGACTGCCTCGGACGAGACAAGGGATGCAGGTGGGCAGACGCACGAAGGACGTCCTGCTTTTTTCCCTTACAGAGCTTCTTCTTTTTCTTTCATTTTGTACTCGCTAGCTCGCTTCCTTTCTTTCTTGCTTCCACTTTTCTTTAAAACCTCCAGACTTATTCCGGCTTCGGCTAATAACCTGACTTGCCTAAGAGTGCACTCCTGACCGTTTGCGCTCAAAAGTTTAGAAGTCCGCCCAAACTCAAGCTTTGCTTGCAACCTCGGTTCTGAACCTGTCGATCTGCCTTTTGGTCGCCCTTTGACATGTTGGTTAACCCCATATATCGTCTCCTTGACCTGCGCAGGTTTGTACCGGGTTTGGTTGACGATCTTTACTTCCTAACCCTCGCCTGTTCAGTGGCCGCGGGGGCCGTCTTCGGATTCTCAGCCCGCGTGCCCCTCTCGGGAAGGGTCAACAATCAGCTGACAGTAAGTGGAAGCCTCTTACTTTCGAACCATTTTTAATCATGGGGACGCTGCATTCCCTTGACGAGTGTTTAAAGCAGCAAAGAAAAGACGTTTGGCTTCCAAAGAGGCAAGCTGCCATTTACGAAACGTCGCTCATGTGAACCGTGGTTCGTGCGGACGCTATCGATCTGGACGTCAGTCGTTCGACGCCCGCTTATGCAAACGCTGTCCGAACGGACGATGGCTCAAGTGGACAATCAGTGAGTGAGTTGCTTTGCTTATTGCGAACGCTGACGCCTGCTTATGTAAACGCTTTTCCGGACGCTCGCTTCGTCCGACGCTGCTTCATCTCGGACACCTGCTCGAGTCAGCTGTCGCATCGCAACATGCACGCGCTATTCGAACGCCAGACCAGCTCTGTAATGGATAGCTCGATGGTTGCGATCGGGAAGAAAACCTCGTAACTTTCACAAGGAAGCGTTGACCTTCGAGTGCACTTCACTGGTCTGCAAAGCAGGAAATCTGCTTCCTAATGACAGGGACGCCGGTTGGGTCTGCCTCTTGTAATAAACCAGGGATCAACCTTCTGGGATTGGGGCAAAATGCGTGCCATGATTGTCCTGAGGCAACTAGGTATGCTGTCCGGTCCCCAGTCGGGAGAAAGGATCGAGGCACCCGTCCTGAGCCCGCGATCTAATTTCCCTTTCTCTGGGGTACGTTTCGCGAGTCCCTTGACTCTGCTTGAAGCTCGATTCAGTTTGCCTTACCATTCCAATGCAGCGCCGCAAGGGTGATAACCCACTCTAACCCGATCATTGTAACCGCAGTGGATCCTGACGTTCGCTCCGCTCTGGGCGTTCCTGCTCGTGTCGTTTGGGATCCTTCCGGTGACGTCACGGACCACAGAGCTCGAAGTAAGCCCCAGCTGCCAAGGTTTTGCGGTCTCCTACAAAACTTAGCCCGTTTGCAGACTTTCTTGGCACGTTGGCATCAGCCTGACATTTTAATGGGCCAGCGTCGCATTGTGACAGTCCCGACATTGACGACGCGAGCGGTTCTCAAACTCCAGTTGCGAGGCAACTCTTCGACCCTGTGCAGTGTGCATGACTTCGACTTTGTAAACCCTCCGGCGATGTTCTGCACGGATTTTGCCTGCGGAAGTCTAATGAAAATCAGAAAGGTGTCAGAGTTTGCGGGTTTAGGATGACTTGGAAATGTCCTTCTTCCTTGACGCTAGGCCTTCCTTTGTGCACACATCTGCACTGGCTCGATGGGTGGAGCGTTCGCCGTTGGCTTCTTGTTGTGTCACGTGTCAATGGACTAGCCCTCGTGCCCGCCTGACGTCAAAGCTAGGCTGAAGCCTCTAACCAGGGCTCCGCTCGCTCCAATCTTGTCGCAGCCGCTGTTGAAGAACGGGGCCGCGTTTCTCGCCGCCGGCGCAGCTGTATACCTCACGCCGATCCTCGGAGAGCCGGAGCTGCCCTTCTCGCGGACTGGGCCCCGGGTTGAGCCGGATGACGACGAGGAGTGACGGGAACGAACGTGGGTGTGACACGTGGCGGCAAGCAGCCGTCTCTGCCGTCTGCTCCCTGCTAGAGGAGGGCAAATAATTATGCAAGGTTATGATTATGAAAGCTGACGGTAGATGAGTTGGGGTCGCAGCAAGGTGAAGGGCTGTCATGTTAAAGTATTTTGTGGCATGCGCGTCTCTATATGTGCGTTTCTTCTGAAGGATTCGAAGCCGTGCACCACTACTTGAGGGACATGCGACGTGTTGGCCTTCAGCACAGCTCGAGTTTGTGTTTGTACTTCAATCACGGAGGAGACAACGGTAGGCAGGCCGGTTGCCTGGCAGCAGATGGTCTTCATAGTAAAGTGCCCGGCTATGTTGCCTATGCTATGATTGCCGCCGCTTGAGTACTGGGAATCAAATTTACTATTTCATATCATCAAAGTCTGGACAATGGTGAGCAGGCTGCACCGCCATTTGACAATCAAGGCGTCCTGCCAGCTACTCGTGTCATCCCAATCAGGCATGAACAAGTCGGTCACTCACCCAACATGTTTAAGTTCCCAACTGAGCCTCTCTCAAGCATCATATGCAGCCTGAGCTGTGACGACGTGTGCCTTTGATCCACTACAGACATGCATGCGTCGGATCACTAATCAGTTTAATGCACTTTTACTCAGTTCACATGAGGCCAAGCCGCGCGATATGACGGTAGCGGTCTACTAAGATTAAGTAACAATTATAACGCGCTAGAATCGATCATGTTTATAAAAGGATCTAGCTGGTTACCACCGTAAGTTATGACTTACGATGCCAGGTCATAGCTATAGTCCGTTGTCCTATTGTCACATATAACAAAAATTCAACTCTGATATCAGTGACGAGGACTGACGTGCCAATGGTGCCCGCGCGCGCGCTCGATGTCACATGTGCTGCGCATAATTGTGCCTATACAGGAATATATCGAGTTCGGACTCAGATCATAGGTATGTCGAGACTCATGTCTTCTATTTTTCCGAGTCGGGACTCAATCTTGGAATCTATCATGATGATAATATGCATGCTCGCGCGGCGGCAGCTTCACCAACGATTCCCCTATAATCTTAAGTTGACCGCAGCGGGGCCCGGCGACGTACGCAATTTCATCATGCCAGTCCAGTCGTGTCAGACACGCGACAATTAATTGCATGGGCGGCCGGCAATCCAGGCGGCTGATGATATATTATGAGATGGCCCCTATCATGTGATTCATCGATCAAATGGGATCGATATGGGGAAATTCAGTACTAACTATACTCTCCAACACTAGTCGATCGCTCATTGACTAGTTGACCTAGCTCATGACCGGGATTGCATGTAATCTTAAAGGGCCGCGCCGCGGGCCTGGCCCGCACTACAGCTCATGTGGACAGGATCATTACAGTGGATCCGACCCAAAGCACGACGAAGACTTGGCTGATGGATTCTACTCAGCTGACAAACTTTGGGAATGCTGATTGAGAGCTCTCCAGCATGTTACGTGCTATTGTACTGGTACTTGCATGTTCCAGCAGGGTCTATCTAGGCCCGAAGTCAACCCTAGAATTTGCATATCACTACCTCGGGAGGCCGTCCTCCAAACTACCCTATATATACGACTTACTAATCAAACCAAAGTACCTTATTCACCGACCTAAACAACGATTGACGGAAAGTCAACGAGTCCTATACGTCGATGGAAGAATTGAGGTCAATCCGTCTTTCATATTATTTCCAAGCTCCAAGCAGCGCCCTCAGCCTCCATCTATAGGCCCGCTGTTTCTAGCTTGGGTACTCACTTATAGTTACCCTAAGCACCACATCTAACTAATGGCGTCCGTGGGAACTGCATCAATTTGCCGAGCATATATGCACTGCCCAGCAAGAAAGCCTCAGGCTTTTAGAGGCACTCCGAGGCGCGTCTCCGTTGCCTTCTCCGCGGCGAATGGCCAAAACCAACACTCATACATACTACAAGCAGGCGCTATAACCCGCCCTCAAACGTCCAAGTTAGCGCTACCAAGAAGCGTGTCCGAGAAGTCCATATCGGCAAGCCCCTCCTCAAACGCCCAGCTCTCCCAGCTGGGAAGTTGCGTCCGGGGGGAGACGAGCGGCGTCTCGCCCACGTGATTCGGTGTTTCCGTCGGTAAAGGTTTGGAAACCTCCACCTCCCGGGCAGGCTGCGCGTTCTTAAAGATCTCCATGACGTGCGCCAGATTGGGCCCCACGGGCACCACGAAGCGCGCGTGCGGCGCGCACGGCAGCTCGTTCGGGGAGCTGCCACGTGGCAGCTCCGGAACGGTGATGGTTTCGAACCCTGGGAGCGGCGCAGGGTGCAAGCCGACCTCGGGCAAGAAGGCTCTCGAGTGGAGTTCCGGGTGGCCCGCCGGTTGGGCCTCATTGAGCGGAACGGCGCCCCGTAGGGGGCCAACTTCCGGAGCACTTTGTTCCCCCCAGAAAAGCGCATCTGCTTCAGCTTGAGCGCTCAGCGGACCTTGGCTCCCCATGGCTTGCCGAGCAACTTTCATCTGCCCCGCAGCAGCCGGACCGTCCGGACCCGGGCACTGCGCCCGGTGCCCGGCATTTGCCGCGAGGCCGGCCAGTGAGTTGCGGCCACCTGGCAACGCCGCGCGCGCCTCCGCCAGCTCGCGCGTCACCTCGCGCTGGTGCGCGTGCGCCGCCCACTCGTCCTCCGCGCCGCGCCGCCGCTTGTCCACCTTCGGCCGCGCGGACGCGCGCGCCGCCGCCAGCTGTCCGTCGGACCCTGCCAGCTGTCCGCTTCGTGCCAGCGGCTGATGACGCCCCGCCAGCTGTCCGCTGGGCACCGCCAGCTGTCCAGTGGGCACCCCCTCGCGCACGGTATCCAGGACGCCCCCACCCCGCCACGCGCCCTCGGGGGGCTGGTTCTCGAGCATGAAACGGTGCTGGTCTAAAATCAGCTGCATCTGGCTGGGGGTCAATTTTGGCTTGGCAAGGCCCCCCCGCAGCGGCGCCTGGCCCTCCCGGCGCCGCCTGAGCTCTTGCAGGATCTGCTCGCCCAAAAGCTCCGTGACTTCTGCCTCGGGGGCGCTGCTCTGTCGTTGCAAGGGACCCCCCCCGAGGGCGGACGACACCGGCAAAGCGGGGACGCTTCTTTGTCGTTCCAGGGGGGCTGGTCGCGGGGCGAAACTTCGGGGGGGGAGCAGCGCGTCGCCCAAAAGACCCTCCCCCGATTCGTAACTCTGCAGCCACCGCGCAGGGTCGGAGTGCGTGCGCAAGAGAGCGTTCCCAGGCGCTCGCACCCGCGCCAGCTGGCGCCGCGGCGGGGCGACAGGTGGCAGCTTCAGAGCCTCCATCGATGGGATCCACGGGGCAGCGGGCAGGGGTTCGAGCTCCATTGACACCGGCTGTGCAGCATTGAGTTGCTCGAGCTCAATGGGGCCGGCTGGTGTCGCGCCAGCCTTGGGGGCCTGACATGCAAAGCTTGAAGAGGCGGGGAGCGTCGAAGACCGTTGCAGCGGTCTCGTATTCGAGAAGCAGAGCTCGTCTGGGGGCCGGAATCGCGAGACCCGGGGGGGTGCTCCAGGGTGCTTTGCGCCAGTCAAGCCTAGCCCCTCGCTGCTTAAACCGGACCCCTCACTTGACCCCCCCCTTAACTCTCCAGCGCCCGTATGTGTCTCCCACAGCCCCCCACCTCGGCTCGCAGAGATCCGCTGCCAGATCGAGTCGACTCCTTCGTTTGCTGCCACCTCCCCAACACTACCCACCCCCAGTAACTTCGGCCCGTTGCCGTCCAAAGGCGCGAGGAGCGCGTTCTCGCCCACGGCCCCCCCTCTCGGGGCGGCCGGCCACTCGTCAGGAATGTCTGCCAGGAGATCCAGCCCCCCCGTGTCGGGGCTCAGACACTGCATCCACGCACTTTCCAGGGGGGTACACGCGCCGCTCGGCGGCGCCCCCCCATCCGGAACGTGCGCCGACGAGCTCTCCTCCACGCTCGAGTCGCTCGTGGGTGGGCAATTCGACGATTCCCGTTCGGTTTCCGCAAGAACGACGCCGCTATCGGCACTGAAACTCGGGCTGCGGTGCATCGTGGCGAGCGCGCTCGGGGGGGGCGTCGGCACGCAGGGGACGGCGGGGGAGCGGCTCCGCTGGGCTTCCAGATAGCTCACCACTTGGAAGAGCAACTCGTCGGAGGAGGCGCCGGCGCACATCCCGTCTGGATCCGTGGTCGTGCAAGAGCGGCTTGAAGAGAGGGTGTCTGACTGCAGGGGAGAGGAAAAGCACCGAGCATTAGAGAGTTTGGAAAGCTCTTGTGCGAAGAGGTTCATTAGATCGCTACAGGATGGGGGCCCTGAGAGCCGAATACTTTGAACCAATGGATCAGGGTCAACGTCCGAGTTCCCAACCAGCAAGTAAGAAGAATGAGAGAGACTGGAAAAAGGAAGCACAGGCTATCAGACGGGAGAAGGTAAATATACAAACAACAATGTCGGAAAGGAGGGCTTGCGAATCCGTAGTAAAGTCTAAGTTGCTTGTCAAAGCTCCCACGTTCGGAGATACAAAAGACTCCTCAAGAAAGTAAACCCATCTGCCTTGAAAACATGTTCACAAAAGGTCCTTTAGGCTCGTCTCCTCATTCTCCCACTACTCTGTTTCCTTCCTCAAGCTCCAGGACCACTCCAATCCCCCCTCTTGAAGCTGCCACAGTCCAGAACGATGACAGACACAGAGGAGACTAAGCGGACCGTAAGGGGTCGAGCCATCACATGATTGTCAGCCATTCTGCACCTTGGGATTGTGGCAAAGAGCGACCCACCTCCGATTTTGATGCTTGGAGCCAACTCTTCCCTGCACCTTCTCCCGTCAGCATTCCTTTGCTTCGGAGACCTGCACAGAGCATCTTTTAAGGCGTTAGCGAGCTGGTACGAGCCTAGGAATAGACAGCGAGATTTGTCTGCCAGAATGACGGTGGTTCGAAAGAGTCTCTTTGGGTAGGAAGCAACTTGAGCGCTCCTCGACAAGTGTGTGAGCCGATACGCCGCCCCACTGTCTCTTCTCCTTACAGAGAGCAGTCCTCAAAATATTGCCTAGAAGTAAGACCCTCAGGCAGCTTGGACGACAAAGTACTCTAGAAAGTTGACCTGTGGGACGATCAACTTCAATGGATCTAGAGGGCTTTTCGCACCAGGAACCCCACCGTTTGGGTGACGCGATGTGGTATGTGGTCACCGTTTCTCTTCTGGGACGCTCGCTTGCCAACTCAATCATTGCAGATGGCTACTTGTTTGGGAAGAACATTTGAAGTTTGGAAACAAGGCACCCTCATCATTGAGGACCTTTCCTCCCACTCAATGGAGTTGAAAACAATTGAGCCGGCGTTTCAGCTGGGCTAGGGAGCGCATAAGAGAAAGATGGTGTGCGAGAAGGAAAAGCTGGGATGCATGGAAGGCCAGCCTGCAAGCTTAAGGCAACAGCGGGCCAGCTCAACAGAAAAGCGCCCAGAATTTACTGCCTGTTAAAGTGACTCAAAAGGAGAAAAGAGGTTTTTACCTCTTTGCATTTTTCTGCAGAACAAGCCTTGCGACCAAGTGAGCCCCAACTCTAGCTTTACCCGCAGATGGAAAGGTTATCAGAGACTCTAGCTGCCCTTAAAATCAGACACGTAAACTTTTCAATAGACGTCAGCATGCGCTTTCGGTCTCTGCAGACTGTTGCACCTCAAGAGCATAGATATATGGACAAAAAGTGCAACACGATTGAAGCGGTTCGCTTTCAACGTTGTGGCCTCATAGTCACTCTGCGCTGGGGCATTCTGAACGCTTGTCTCAGCCCAATAAGCCTCTCGCACGAAGCCAAAAGAGAATTACTCTCAAGAGAAAACAATGCCCACACTGTCCAGCAGACAAACACTCTTGCGCTTCATGACCCACCAATCTTTGTGTAGACTTTCTAAAATAAGGACTTGGCGAACCCGACACGAGCTGGCGCTTTTATGGGCATTGCAAGGGCACCCAAGTCCGTGGCTGGCCCGTTGCTCCTGGAGGATCACCCACCTGAAATGTTCTTTCGAGCGCCTCAGCTCGCCTGCCCACGTTGGCCCTCCCCCATGGTAAGGGCGGCGCACTGAACGTCAGTCAGTTCTAGGTGCCCAATTGTATAAATGCCTAATCCTCTGATTGTCACAAGACCGCTTTAGATCTGCGACATGGCCCCAAGCCCTAGCCCTTTCAGATCAAGACCTCTGGCATCTTTCTAAGTGGTGATCACACAATGCCCGTCCACTTCCTCGTTTCTGCAAAACACCTTCCGAAGAGAACAAAGTCCTTTTGAGCTTCTAGGGGAGCCAATGTTCAGTGGCCCGTCGGACGTTTGCAGAGCGTCGACAGCGAGCCTTATGGCGACTGCCCACCTGCCAAGCCTTCAGCCCCTAAGCTCAACCAAGCCAAGATGAATTTCAAAATCCCTTGTTTCGAGGTGCATTCGCATCATGACAAGCTGCTGTTAAGCACCAACCGAACGCCCCAGTGCGCGTGATGGCTCCAGAGTTGGCCCAAATTAAAGCCCTTTCGCTGGCTTCAGCTTCAAGGAAGATCAAGGTCCAAGAGATCCCAACTACCGTTACTATGGTATCTGCCCAGCTAATGATAATATCATAGGGGCGACCTAAGTGCTTTGAGGTGCCCTTGTCCACACATAAATAAAGTTTAATACCTATAAGGCAATGTGACCTATAAGGTACTGTATTGCGTAAGAGGACTGTACGTTTAATGATTGCGCGGTCGTACCCCGCGCTGCGCGGTGCGTACCCGAGAAGCAGCCGGGCCTACCCTGGGACATTAGGGTCTCGCAAGCAACCGGGTAACAAGCAGGCCCTCCCTCTGACATTAGGGTCTCGCAAGCAAGCCGGGTGACAACCGGGCACTTCTCAGTAACATTAGGGTCTGTCGGTCACATTACCCTAGGTTTTTAGTGTTGCCCGGGGCCTCCCATGTACAATATTCCTCTACGGTTAATCAAATTCCCTATAGGGAACGTACCTTATAGGTATTAAACTTTATGGTTATTTGTCCACTTAAGGAGTTCGCACACTAGCCAGAAGGCTACAAGGCTACTAGGTAGTACAAGGGTCGCCGGCAGTTGGAACTTGGGCCGAAGCTTCAGCCCGCTGCCAGCTGTACGAAGCCCGTACAACCGGAGTAAGTTCATGACACTAGCGGTGCAGGTGTAATCGCAAACTCGGACTAGCTCCGTGTTACAGTGTCACAAAATTTACTGTGGTGGGATAGGAAGAACCGCTTTGTTCCGCTCTTCAAGGGCCTTGGAAGTTGATACTTTCCACCCCGTCAATCAGCCGGATAACATGACGTATGTTTTGCAATCCGGATCCTGATTGCAAACAGATTCCTGACACATTCTGACACCTGCGGGACAAACCCCGAGCGCAATAGGCGGCGGCCGCGCGCTCGTCGGAGCGCATGCAAGGGTCCTTACCGTCCGATGCTCGGGATGCCTGAATTGACGGTAATCAATCTCCCTGCCGATGAATGAATCGATAAGGATTGGCTAATATCGGTGGGCCGCGCAATTATTATCCGGTCAAAGCTTGAGAGATGAGAGATGCAGTCTGATACTCGTGTACTACCTAAATCCGATACGAGTCACGACACGTGGATCGAAAGGAGAAAGTTTTAACCAATTTTCTAGCTAGTCTCATGAGCCGACCGAATCAGCACGAGAATACTGGATCGGGCACTGAAATGTGGAATCCTGCATGGTCGCGCGCGTCACTGAGTGCCGGCCGCCCCGTGCTAGTAACATATTTTTCTGTCCGGGGCAATTCGATGAATGGTTACATGTATGCGGAAGTTATATGGCGACCAGGACATCTCACCAGCCTTGTTTCGAGAAAGATCTTTGCATGCAGCAGGTCGATTTCTCCTCTGTGCACAAAATGCATTAGCGCCATGCATCGACTAAAAGTCAGATCATGGCATCGTACAAGATGATATTGATTAGAGCACCCTGTAGTAAGCTTGAAGAGTGACCACCGAGTCAAAGTAGAAGGAAAGTACAGCTCGTACTCCAAAGCAGACAGAAGTGCGAATGAACAGTGAGCACTACTACTTATGAAGAGCTTCAACGAAAGAAAGTGCAGCAATCAGTGCAACCCGGTTGGGATATATCGTCACAAGGCACTCAGTTTTATTTTGCGAGCTCATGTGCATGTTATCCGAATATAGTGCCGTCCCCACCGAAAACTACATTTACTCCTGTCTTCAGTCCCAAGGTGCGGCCTTCAGTCGGTAACAACGACCACCAACTATTCAGCCCTGGCAATGTAGTGAAGGTCATAGTACAGTACCGTCGTTGACGATCCTCTAAGCCCAAGAATCTTTTAGTAAAGCTCGTCATGAGTGACAGAGGCACTCACAATACGACGATTTTGACTGCACTTAGAATATGACGATTCTGACTGCACTCACAAATCGGTCGTCATATTCATATGACATCCCAGCATCTCAACATGAATGGTTCTAACCTCTTGCGACCACTTTACCAGTTGCTCACCGAGCTTCGCCCTTGCCACGCATCTAATCTGCGCAGTGTCTCTCGTGCCCCTATCTCTGCATCTACCGCAACCTTCGTTGGCGTTGGCAAAATAGACTCCATCGGCGGAAAGCCTTTGGGCGCCGCGACATTTCGAGCGCCCACATTCGCTATGTCCACGAGAATCACCCACACTGCGTCCGAATCGACTTTCGCGAGCGCAAGCAAAGCCGCAGACGCCGAGTCCCGCAAACCTTGCGCATATTTCTCCTCGAGAAAGCGCGACGCTTTGCGCGCCATATCGCCGGCCATCCGCCCGACCGCCCCCCGGCTAAACTCGTTATCGGCTAGGCTTCCCAAGCAGGAAAGCACCCCTGCCCGCACGCGCAAGTCGGCGGCCGGGCTCGATGCGGCACCCCGGCTGCTCTCCCCGCCTTTGACGATCATAAGAGATGCGCGTGGAGAAGCGCTCATTCCCGCGTTCGGGACTCCGTTAAGGAGGAGGCTAGTCATAAGCGGCCACGCGTCAGTCTCGATTCTGCGTGCCATGAAGTCGCCCCCGCACGTGGCAGCGAGTGAGCAGATGAGGCCGAGCGCGCGTTCGATTACCTGCGGAAGGCGACGATCTTTGAGCGGCTCTTGCTTTGACACGATTGATGAAGTGACCCTTTAGATGCAGACTTCAGTACGTCAACCGTATAAGATTGAAATTTCAAAACGATCGCTCCGTCCAGCTTCTGTCAAAAGTCGGACACGTTGCAAAAGTCAGATTGCGACCTACTTGTCATCAGCTCTTGAAGAACAAGGGCGCCCTCCAAGTTTGCCACTCTCTAAGCGCGTTTCGTGTCCTTCTCACCTTGTAACTTTCGTCACATTTGGAAGCGAGTATGCTAGTAGGCAGGAAAGAAGGCCCCAGCGGCTTTCAAGCAATACTCAACCGAATGGACCAAATGACTTAGGGAGAAGCAAAAAGTTGTACCTGAAACATCTCTATTGGATTAGTCTTTTCTGTGAATAAACCGGATAAGGAAAGCAGAATTACCCACCGCTGCTGACGTGTGCCTGAGGCCCTGCACCACGTGGGGCCACAAGGAGTGGACACGTGGCAGCACGCGGTTGCTGATCTCGATCTCCTGTCTGTCCATGTCGATATCCGGCGCTTCCGCGGCGGACTGTTCCGCAGCGTCTTTGTGGGCTCTTTCCGCACGCTCGGCCGCTGCCAGAGCGCGCATTCCCACTTCCGCAATGTCCATCGCGACCACCCTGGAAAGGCAGGGTGTGAATGGGGTTCAAAGTAGCCGCTTATCCAGATCGACAGTGCGGGGTTGCTCGGCTCGTGTGCTGATTACTACTTACTCCAGAAGAAAGCCAAGGAAGTTTGTTGCTCGTGAAAGAATGCTGAACCGGCGTGAGTATTAGCCCTGTGGAACTGTGCAATGGGAGCAGACGGTGTGAATAACTTTCGCTGGCCACGCTCGTCAGCAGACTTTCCTTCTGTCGGTGTGAATCCACAAAACAGGACACCGACGAGGACTCGACATCGACGTTCGATCCAGGGCCCGCGTCTCCCCTTTCAAACAACGCCCCAGAGCCACAAAGTTACGAACTCGCAGAACGCTCCGATGTAGAAAGTCGGAACGCGCCACCACGAAACTTGATGCGGCACAAACCACCCCCCGGACTAGAACGCTCCTGGCGCCCGTCAAAGGAGCGGGGCGCACAAAAGTGAAACGGGTTCAAGTTTTATCAATCCAGATTCTCCCGCAGAACGCCGCACAAACAGGCCCCATCGTTTTAGTAGATTAGTAGCTGGGACGGGTGGGGTTGGTCCGAAGGTCAGGGTATGTACGAGTGCGGAGCGCGTCAAAATTAGGTGCTTCGCACTTTGGTACAACCTTGCGACACGGCTGGCAGGGCAGAAAGTGTATCAAGTGCCAGCCTCACACAGGAATTCCTAAGAGAAGCTCACTGTTTTATGCCTGATCTTACCAGATCGAGAAGTATGCACAAACTGCCCACCTGCTCTGAACGCTCCTGGCCCCCACCAGCGGAGCTCAGCGCACATACGTAACCGAATTCAGGTGTTACGCAAACCCCACTTCCACCCGATGCCTCACAAACTGCTCACCTGCTCTGAACGCCCCTGGCGCCCATCAGCGGAGCATAGCGCACAAACCTAACCGGCTTCAGATTTGACGCAAACCCTACTCAAGCGCAATTCGCAAACCTGCCCACCTGCTCTGAATGCTCCTGGCGCCCATCAGCGGAGCCAACCGCAAAACACAAACGGATCCAGCTTTGACGCAAACCCCACTAACACCCAATTCGAACAAACTGCCCACCTGCGCTGAACGCTCCTGGCGCCCATCAGCGAAGCGTAGCGCACAAGATACCGACTTCAGATTTTGACGCAAACCCCAAACGCATTCCCCACAAAGTCCCCACCTGCTTTGAACGCTCCTGGCACCCATGAGGGGCGCGCAAGCGTCCACTGCCGAGCACGCAACCGCCGCCGCCGCCTCCCGCCGCCGTTTCCGCTCGTCCCACCACTCCTCCGACTCCTGATCCGAGCCACGTGGCTGGCCCCTCCCCACGCCACGTGTCAGCCCGACGCCTTCCTCGTCCTTCTCCGTACCGAAGCCTGCCTGAGTCGATGTCCGTAAACCCTCCGAAACCACTCCAAGCTGGGGTTCAGTCCGAGTCCCCGTAATTCCGCCTGCGCTTTTCCCAGCGATCGAAGACTCACTCGGATTGAAAGCCGGCATGCCCTCCGCACTTCTCAAACCCTTCCCTGCGCCCAAACCCTCCGAAGCCTCCCCTGAACGCCCCATGTTCCGGCCCCCGCCCAAGTCCCCCAAATCCTCAAAACTCTCAGCTCCGCTCCGATCCCCCAATCCCTTTCCGACGCCCAAACCCCCCGAAACCTCGGCCAAAACCTCGCGCGCCTCGTCCTCCGCGGCGCGCGCGACCTCGCGGAGCGCCAGGAGGAACGCGAGCGCGTGCTGCGGGTGCTGCGCGCGCGCGCGCACCCCCAGGCCCTGGAGGACGCTCCGGAGGGGCTCCGCAAGCAGCGGGATGAGGTCCGCGGTCGCGCGCGTGCGGCGCAGGACGGACACGAAAAGGAGCGGGGCGGACGGGTGCAAGTGCACGTGGCGGAGCTGCCTGGAAGGAGGGAGGAGGGGAAGCCCATTTCGCACAAGCTTTTCATAAGGTGCCCAGACGAGAGGAAGAATGGGGACGGGCGCAGATGCACGTGCCGCTGCTGGGATACGCGGAGAAGAGGAAGAGAAACGCGTCACCGCCAATGAGGAAGGTGAAAATATGCGGAACATTGGGGTATGGAAACAGCGGATGGCTTCGGATTGCCGTCTTCGGATTGCCTGTGTTGGATGGAAGCCCGAATGCCAAATCTGCGAGTTCGTCCCAAAAGGGAGACGCTTTCTGTGAGAAGAAACGGCGTTGCACGTGCTATTTGACAAGACAAATCAGATTGCATGACATCATGTATCCTAGAACCTGACGTCTGTGCGGCCCAAGCAAGGTGAACGGCTTCAGAAGGCGTCCAAGTGCTCTGGCTTATGGGTCGCTCCAGGTTTCCAGCGCACAATGCCCCTTTTTGCCGGAAAACAACCTCTGAAGCGCCGGGTAGAAAGAATCTCACAGAGCTCATGGGAAAATCAGGGTAAGGGACCCAGGGTTTTTGTTTTCTGGCCTCCCAGTACGCTACGTCTATGATATACTACATTGTTTCGAAAATGGTAAGGCCTGTTTTACGCCGAAAAGTGGACTTCCCGTCCACTTCAATAGCAGGGGCTATCCGAAACGTCCTCCAATTTCTAACACAGTCACGTGCTACTTAGGCAATCCAGCTTCGAGCGAATTCAGGGCGTAAACCAGAGCCGGTTTAGGGGTTTAGGAGCAAAACCTCATTCCGGACGTCAGGCTCACCGGCAGAGGGCGTCCACGACGTAATCTGAGTTCGCGGCGACCAGCGCCCGCAGAGAGGGGTACCCGCCATGCGCGCAAATCGACTGAAGGGCCAGGTCTGCGGAAGCGCTAACCTGCGGGACGTGAGTTGAGGGTGAGGTGCGAATAAGAGACGAGTTTTGGAAATGAAAGGGGTACATCTGGGGCGAATACACTCTTCTTGGGGAGAGGTTGCCCGCTCTGCGCGCAGAATGATTGGAGCGCGAGGTCTGTTGAAGCGCTGCCCTGCAAGCGTGGCAGACGGTTTGGACCGAGGTCTGGAGGAAAAATGGCTTCTTTGAATGAACGCGAGTAAAGCTGGCGCGAATACCCTCTCCTTGAGGAAAGGGCATCCGCCTTGCGCACAATTGGGTAGCCCAAGAATTGACCTGCGGGCGTGGGGCACACGGGTTGATCCATGTTCCGACGAAGGAAAGACTTTTGGGACGGAGGAGAGTGTAAAAAGCGCGTACACCTTCTGCTTTTGGAAAAGGGTGCCCGAGTCATGCGAGAAAGCGCACTCTCAAGGGAAGCGCTTCGAGGTGAGTTCTCTAAAGGAGAGCTTTGCTTGCTCTCTGCATCTAGAGTGATTTGGCACTTGAGCGCAGCCTCTCCGTCAGCAAGAAGGTTTCGGAACACTGCAGCAGGTGACGTTACGTGTTCCTTAGCCCTTCTCATCGACTGCGGAAACAAAATGTCGCTCTCAACACCACACAAGAGACCTCTTGCAAAAGAGGAGCAGAGGGAGCGGTCCATTGGGGCCTTCTTACTGCACATCCGGTCAACCTGGCCGCCTGACCCGAGTCCGACTTGAACCAGTCGCAGAACATTTCTCGAGCCGCAAGACTTGGGCCGTTCGATGAGAGGCATGCGGTTCAAATTCTGCGGATCGGGTGAAGTTTTGCCTCCGGCTCAAACAGGACTCTGGTCAGGCGGCCAGGTTTCATCGAATGTGCAGTATGAGTGCCAACCATAAAGCGGACATTGGAATGCAAGCGGAGTGGAGACCGACAACGGCTGAGGCGTACCTGGTGAAATAACACTTCGGGACTAGTAAGCTCAAGGAATAGTAAGACCAACAGCCTGGGACGGGTGGGGTTAGTTTGGGGGTTAGGGTGGGTTCGGGTGCGGAGCGGGTGATTTTGTAGGTTAGGTTTTTAGTGTTAATGTTGGAGCTTTAATACTATTCCTCGAGGAGTGTCGCGACATTCGTACCTGGGCATTTGGCGAGCCGAGCTTGGACAGCAGCGGGAACAGCACCGCTGACATCAGCGCGCCGTCAGCGACGAACCCGCGGCCCAGAGCGCGGGCAAAGGCGCCGATGCCCTCAATCATCATCTGGCCAAAGATAGAGTCAATAATTATCAATCATCGTCGTATGTAACGATTCCTAGCTTCCTTCATTCGTGTGGCGTTCGGTAAGTAGGTCGAGCGAGGTTTTTGGAAGAGCAATCGGGAGTTACTAAGTCGCGACTTGGAAATAAGAGAGTCAAGTAAGGGCGACTTTTTGAAGCCAGCGGACGAGAAGGAGGGGGACGATATGCGGAGGCCAAAGGCAAGACTCTAGCTCAAAGTAAGCTCCAGAAATTTAACAAAGAAATAAGGGTGATTTTCTTTCGCCACGGCCGGTCCGAATCGAAAGTTGAATCCAGGTTATCATGCAAACGGTTTGAAACATCTTCTCTTGTGCGGCGGTGCGGCGATTCTGAACCGAAGCTCTCTTATCTGAACACTGTAGGGCTTTGGGGTTCCAAAGTTTTAGGGTTCTAAGGGGTGCAAAGTGACTGCTGCTGGCAGGTCCTTAGAGCGGCCTCGTGAGTCAATACACCGAAGCGGATGGCTTTTTACAATTCCCGGTGTCGTTCACACGAAAAAGAAAAGGGAAGCTACATGTTTTCAATGCCTTTGATAGGCAACCGCACCTCGAGGCTCAAAGGCCGACGTCAGCGTCCGCTCAGAGCCTCAAATGACGACGTAGACTGACCCAAAGGAAGCAAACTTTCAAGGGAGCCCTCCTTGGAGCAGAAATTCTGCGCAGATGCAGGTGATGATTCTTAGGTGCTTGAGCTCATGTTGAAGCAGACTCAAAGTTCGATTCTAATCATAGAATGTTAGGATCTTCTCGCTGCTGATCAACAAATGAAAAATTCACACCCCACCTGCTGAAGCCGGGCGTTGTCCCCTGCTGTGCTCAGCGATACCTCGGCCCCTTCAGTCCCTCGGGACGCTTCCACCGGGGAGTCCCACAGCTCTGGCGCCAGATACTCGTGCACCACCCGGTTCACCAAACCCGAGAGAACCGGGTCGCCCTCACGGTTTGGACCGGTTACTGCTTGTTTCGTGGTTTCCCTCTCAAGCCCAGAAGTTTTCTCCGAACCCGTTTCTAAGGATACGCAAGCTTCCCCCTGCCCACCGTTTACGGTTTCCCGCACCGCCGCCGTTTTAGAATCGGTAGCCAACTTCAGATTGGAACCTCCGGGAGCATCTACTGATTCTTGAGTAGGAGCCGCATTCGCGAAGAGGCTGTCTTCCGCGTTCCACGCGGGCGACGCCCCGAAAACGACCTCGTTGAGAATCAGTACTGCGGTGGCCCCGGTTCTTTGGGCGCTGCTGTCCGATGTTGGAGAAAGGGAGGGGCTGACGTCCTCGCCGGGGGGGAAAGACTCTAGAGTGGCGGCAGTCTGCTGGAGGACCCCCAGGAAGGGGGACACAACGGTCGCCAGGGATGGTTGCCCTCCTGCGAGACGATTCTAAGTCAGTCTCGGCGTGTTGCAGAACCTCCTTTCAACTGGAAGGGTACACATGAGGGTAATCTCAGTCTTGATGACGAGGGTCAGATGTTGGGCGTACGCTCTCAAATAAGGTCGTGGAAAAAGGTCGCAGAATAGAGTTGCTACCACGAGACCAAAATGGATGATCTTTCTTGTAAGACGAAGGTGCGCAGAACTCAACATTGTGTGCGTTGTGGCATAAGGTTTAGAAACCATGGTAAGCCTTCCCAGTCAAAATGCTCCTAATATTCGCCAAATGCAGTTCTCGCCTTGGAACATAATTTGTGACAACACAAGTACACTGAAGACGATCTCAACCAAATCGGAGGCAATCTGAGGGATCAGCCCCGCACCCACCTCGCTTTGCGCTGCGTCCGATCAGCCGACAGATGCGCGCCAGCGCGTCGTACATCGGACGGCTCCGGACGTGCGCCAGGCTTTCCGGCGTCCGCGGCAGCAGCGGGGCGGGCAGAGGCGGCTCCGGAGAAGCGTCTGCGAACACGCAAGCCGAACTGACGTCAGCACGTAAGCCCACCGACGGTCTCAGCTTTGAAAAGTGGTTTCTCGAGGCCAGGAGCAAGTAGGCCGGTCTTATGTGGGACTCACGCTGAGAACTTGAGCGCACGAATGTCACGACTCACAATGAGATGTAGTCCCGTCGTGTTTCTCAAAAGAATGTAGTGGAAGGTCTCGACTCTCTCTACGAGTGTTGCGCTCTAGGCTTCCCCGGTGCCTTTAATTCGACAGTGTTTGTCAAAGCGAGAATCTGAGTCCGAGCCTCCGGTCCAAGCACGGTCCAACAATTACGAGTGTCTTTTGAAAACATCTCAACATTGTGAGCCCATTCCCGCATTTACAGCCTTTCCCTTGCGTGCCTCCATGCATCAAGTTCTTGCCTTCAGAACGACCGCTGATGATCCGGAGGATATTCTCACCAGTGGAGGCGGGCGCATTCTCACCGCCACCCAGCGTCAGGTACTGTGCAGGCGGCTGGTATTCTGCCACGTGGCCAGCGGAACTCGAGAACTCCAGGCACTGCTGCAGAGCCGCTGACAGTGTCGAGAGGAGGCCCTGCGAGCACGAGGGAGCATTTTATCGTGATTTGGTGTGCAAATGTTATACTTCGTTGCCGTTTTCTTTCAACTTTTTTTTTTTTGAAATAACCGACTGACTTGGAGATGAGGAAGAGATCGGCGCATCCCAGGAAGAACGCATGTTCCCAAGCAATTCAGACGATTCAATGCAGGACAGAGAAAAGAAGGCAAGATTGGGGGTTCAACCGAAGGTATGACAAGTTCCATCCAGAGTAGACTGTTCTGCCGATTGCCAGGGTTTCAAATCGAACCGGTTGCAACCTCGTGAGTCCTATGGGTGTTGGACTCTTCTAATCTGGAAGGAGAGCTGGGCTGTGGGCTGTGAACTAGGCTAATATTGATTCGCGGCGTCTGTGAATTGGAAGGTGGAAAGTGGCAAGCGGGGCCCTTCTTAAGTCAAACAAAACTCACCGACACTCGACCGGTACTACCTAGAACCAGACTAAATTCGAAGCAGAGAGAGAACCGGAAATGGAGCAAGGACAGCGGGAGAATGCACATATAGTTGGAAAAAGGATTGGTGGGGAACAACTGGAAGGGAAATTATGGTCAAACAAAAAAGCACGATTTAAGTTTCATGACACTCAAGCTGGGAACGAGCTCTACGACTACAGAAACGATGCCACAGGCGAAAGAGCACAGCAGGACATCGAAGATTGAGCGGAAGGGACTCTTACCGTTTCTACGATGCTCTGGCTCCGTTCCCCTCGCATCATCAAGGCAAGAATGGCGGCGATCCGCCGCGCTTGCGCGAGCGCGGCCGCGTCGTCGCCTCGCCGCAGCGCCCGCGGCAGCTCGGACAGCTGCCTGGAAGACGGACACTTGCGGACGTCAACTGGCATCCAAAGTCGATGTTTCAGCGATGCCAAAACAAGCGAACTCGGTTGAGGCATATCATGACTGCGTCGGTGGAACGTAGATCTTGATGAAGGCAACACTCGTTGCGCTTCGCAGCGCTTGCGGCCATTCGAACAGTCGCCTGGACCGATGGACACGTGCCGACGTCAGCCGGCGTCCAAAGCGACTTCTGGAGTGTTCTCAGGAATAGCGAGCTCGATGCAGGGCTGATGAAAATTGGTGAGATGCGTAGAGTAAGCCCGGAACATGGATGGGCAAAGATATGGACAGATCGGAGAGACGCAGAGCCGAAAACCTCGTAAGCTTGCTGTTTTTAAGCGGAGCACGCTTGGCACTTAGAGGAAATGCAAACGTAAGGGAGTAAAACAGATTTGTATTTAGAGCTTCTTGCTTTACCCTTGTTCGCCACGGATGGTAGGAAGATCCGACGGAACGCAAATCGATTATTACAAGCGATGATCCTTGGACACGAAGAACAAACGGTCGTAAGGAGCTGACCTTTGCATTATGCGTCCAAGCGACGCTTCCGAGACGGTGAAGGCCCCGCCCACCCTTGGCGGCCCCACGCTAGGGGCGATAGTCAATCTCCCGAGAAAACCCCGGGCGGGAGTCGCGACGCTGGTGTAATCGTCGTACGCCAAAGCGAAAAGGCATTCCTGCAACGTCAGGGCGAACATCAACGGCTGAAGTTGGGGGACTGGTCGAGTCTGATGAAAGAGCAACGGTTAGCAGTGGTGTCTCTTTCTGACGAGTAAGGCAACGAAGAAAGTGTGTATCAAAAACCTCTGACTGAGGAATGCTTATTCAATCTTATCGATCTAAATTGAGTGTACGGATCCTGCTTGAGGATGCCAGGAATACACTCCTGCTGGTGAAAAACCTTCAGATCTGCGAACTCAGCCTCATCGATTGTTGAACTTCCTTGTACGGATTCTGCTTTGACATGCCAGGAATAAGTTTCTGCTCACGAGCAGAAGAGGCGTCGCTGCAGACAGCATCCGCTGACACGTGTCGAGCAGCCGGACCGCCAGCTGTCCCAACGCAGCGCGGACTCTGAAGCTGTCCGACGTGCAGAGCTGCAATTGGTGGATATCTGCGTGAGCATGACGCGACTTGAAGTCGCGTGAAGAGAAGAACGCACCAATCATGATCTCTGAGGGTTGCGGTGGCTTTGAGGAGCCTCGGTTCGCAGTCGCTCAGATTTCACTGTATCGAACCGTTGTCAGAGCGATGACTTATTCTATGGTGGGAAGCAACCCTGGGGGTCGAGGCTGCGAATGAGAAGGACACGTGTCTTCCCTAAGATCGACTTTCGCCTCATCCTGGACCCCAGTTTCAAGTGGGTCCGTAAGACATTGTATCCAAACCCATGAAACCGGGACTCTTCAGGTCAGCTCTCCGAGTAAAGAGCTTCGCCTTACCCTTGGCAGCACCGCTTGCAGCATCGTCTGGAGTCGCGGCACCGTTTCGCTCAACCACTCCTGATCCCGAACCACGTTCATGCTCTCCCGTTCTGGGGGGGCTCTTTCCGGCTTCTTTCGGGGAGGGGGCGGGGTCGCGGGCTTGTCAGCAGGGTGTTTCGGCCTCAAGGACAGCTGCCGCAGCGCCTGGAGAAGAAACGCACGCGTGCGCTCAAGAGGGAGGATTGCTCTCAGGGGCTTCGAAAGGTGGGGGAAGACTACTTTGATGCTTCCGAATGGTAATCATCAATCGCAAACGCAAAGTGAACTTCTCGGTATTGCCCCCTCGGCCAATCCAGAGTGGAGGTGTTTCGCAGAGAGCTCAAAACAAGAATTTGAAACCTTCTGCTTTGTAGGTCCTCAACGCGTACATAAGTGACCAGTCGACCAGCCCACAAGGGGCGTCGGTCGAGTCTTCTGACAATATTCTGAAGTCTCTGCGCAGGACGTCGCACTACTCCACCCTTTGCTCACCTGCATGGCGCCAGCGGCCGAGACTGGAGCCCCCAGGGCAGGTAACCCAGGCGCTGGGGCGCCTAACCCCAGGATTTCGGAGCTCAACCCTGGGTTTGCGGCGTCAGCGAGAACGACGCCCAGGAGCGTCGAGAGGGCCCGCACTGCGGCGGCGGTTCCGAGGGAGCCGGCTTTGGGGGCGAGCATGGCGCGGGACAGACCACTGGCCACTCCCGGGAGGAAGAAGGCAAGGGCGTCCGGGTCGTCGATCTAGAAAACAGAGATCCAAATCTTGTACAAGACTGAGTTCCCCGTGCTAATTGGTTACTATTAAATTGAACTTGAGCACTCATTTGGTTTCTTCAGCATGGCAGACGCTCATGCATACCTCGATCAGACATGTATTCGCAGCGACATGCCTCTTCAGGCGAAGGGACAAGAGACTGGCAGGCCAAAAGAAAAGTCGTTACAACGCTCTGTTTAGATCAATTGATCAGAGAAGCCGCCGCCAACATGCAAGCAGACTCCGCCAATCCTCGTCTGCGTTTGTGCCACTAGATCCAATCAAGACAAAATTGGCAAATAAGAAAGTGCCTATTTTGTCAGGAGGGGACGGGGAAGCTTTCGAAGGGAGTCCGGAACAACATGCCTGGTAAGAGCCGTTTCGCAAACACCACCAACGCCATGTATTGCCAAGAGGAGGAATTGCAAAACGCCGGCCCACCTGCTTTAGAAAGGTGTCAAGGGTCGTCATGGCCAGTGCATGCAGCTGCTTGCTTCCCTGAGCCCCCGCCGCAATCTCCTCATCCGCCACCTGTCAGAGGTTTGACTGACCGTTCACCGAGTGCCACTCGAGGTCGACAACGTCAGCTTCCATCATACATGATGGGTTTGGATTGGTTGCTCGACAAGCGGGACATGGTGTGCTTGAGAGAAACCGAGAATAGGCATCGAGCTGCGAGAAGAGCTGCAAAAACACATGAGACTTCGATCCTGTCCGTGCCCTATTCTTGAGAGTCGGTTCTGCAACTCATCAAAGATCTGCATTCCCCCTTTATAATCGGAAGGACTGACGTTTCACAACCTCCTTACCTTCAAAAACAGCGACAGCAAGTGCCCCCGTGCAGCCGCCATCTCCCCCCCCCTCAGCTTCCCCAGCTCCTCGCCCCCCAGCCCAGAAAACATCGCGCCCGCGCTCTCCAGAACGCTCCTACGGAGCTCCTCCGATGCCCCATCTCTTGGCAGGTTCAGCAGCTGGATTAGGGTCTGGAGAAGCGGGACGAACTGGGCGGGGCCTACCGGGCACTTTGTCAGGAAAGTTCGCAGTGTGCCGGCGGCTGCTTCGGTGACAGGGGCGGGGGAACCGGGGCGCAGATGGTGGAAGAGGGGGAAGAGGATGTAGCTGCAGAAGAGGGGCTGAGTGATGAATCTGAAACAGCTGTTCTGTTCTTCTATGTGTGCCTGAGGTGCTTGAGGATAAAGAAATTTTTGGAGGGTGATAGATATCCGATGGAAGGGCGATGGCAGTGCATATGGAGGCAGCCACCCAGGGAAACTTGTGAATTGCAAGGCCCATGTACCAGACTGAATTACTGCATGCTTTGTACTGATGTCAGGGTGGTGCAATGGAAGGGTGTTATCCAACCATGTTCTCCATGATTAGAGGGTGGTACAACAAGTTCATGAGCGCAATAGCCTCCAATTGGCAGCACAAGTATGGGATCGCAGAAGGCAGAAGCCACAATACTTGTTCTGTCGGCATGATGCACGAGCGCCGCGCAGATCGACAAGAGTGAAAAGCCTTTGGCAAAGTCGAAGCTGACTGACCCGCAGAAAGGCCACCTTTTACAGCTTGCCCACACGATCAGATACAGCATTTTAAAGCCTGAGAACGAACGTACAAAAGCTCAGTGCCCGCTAATAAATCTAGAACACCTTTTCCAGCTAGTTGCCCGGTCCCCCTCGCAAACTCAGTCATAGACAATCACACCACCACTGCACTTTTCCACAATGCCAGAGCAGCCTTACTCGATGCATGCTTGCAGGCCGCCAGCTGGCAATCCCTCCAGCACCGCTTGCAACGCTACCAGGCGCTGCACGGTGCTCAGGTTGTCTTGGCCTGGCTGCACCAGCCCTACGCACAACGGCTGCACGGCGAGGAAAGCGCCTCGACGCATGCGCTGCCCCTGCTCGAGCGGCGAGCTGGCTACAGCCATGTTGATTGAGAATTGGCCGCTGGGGCTGCCTCACTGTTGAAGGGCTACTGGGTCAGCCATGAGACAGCGTGCACACTAGGCCGCGGGGGACTTGAGGGAGTGGCCAGATGTTTCTCAAGGAGCTCATGTGGACGGCCAGCTCCCTTGGAGAGTTAGATGGTGTTATCTAACCCCGACTCGGTCAGATCAGGAACAGGTTACTAACCTTGTCTTAACCGGAAGAAGCTTTGACACTCGGCATGGATCCAGGAACGAAACCAGGTCCACAACTTTTGCCATGAGACCTTGCTGCTTTGCAACAGAAGCTGTCTCACTGTCTCGTCAAACAAAGTGCCCAGGCGACATACGCCACCACTTTTACCACCACCACATCTACTGCAAAGATCGGTGCTCTAGCTTGAAACCACCCACCCTCCTACTGCTCTTCAATCATAGCAGTTTTTCAATCATCGCCAGACGCAAGGTTGCATTCCAACAGAATCGATTACGGCCACGACGAAAACTGCAATGCTGCCCCCAGAAGGTCAGCTGAGCTCTGGCCGGAAAGGTGCGCTGGCGGCCCTTTGGTATGAGGTGGGCCTGCTGGAGCGATTGCTGTATAAGAACAAGAATCAGCACCGGCACACACTGCACTTTCAGCGGCTGCAGCAGGTGGGTCAATCTGCACTCAGAAAAGCTTTAGGGAAAGTGAGAATGAATCGGAAGGTCCCAAAGTAGGTGGCCGTTCAGCAGCGATGGATTTTTGCCTTTTTTGTTTTGTATCTTGGTAGCTTTCAAATGTCTAGCTAGTGAGCTGGCAGTTGAGCAACCTGTTCCAGCAATCGGTGATCCTAACGTACTTGTTCCTATTCTCATTTGCACCTACTGACAAGGGAACCGTTTCTTGCCCCTGCTGTCGGAGCTTTCTGAAAGTCTCTGTGCATTTTGAATGTTCATGAAGTTGTCGTGGCCACATCTGAAAGGATGCCTGACAGCTAGAGCCCCACAGTGTCCTGCAAGTTGGTGTCCGAGGAATAATGCCTCTTCGACCTTCAGTCTTTCACTTCCATCAAGATTATCACTCTGGAAGGGCAGAAGTCTCGAGGAGCTGGAGCAATTGTTGCACTGAAACAGCCCCCAGCACTCCCATCTTCCACTATAAACCAGCCCCCCCTGTTCTAGTAACTGTCATGCAGCACGTCCTTCATAGGAAGCGGGCATTTAAGCACGTTCTGATTTTTCTTCTGGCCTGAACACACTAAAACCCCGCTTCCTATATGGTTTCCTGCTAGGACGGGTGACTAGAACGGGAAACTGGTCTCATCGGAGCTCGCTTGTGCTCGATCCCCCTGGGAACCTTGCATTAAGAGCATAGCCTGTGTTCACGCCCTTGACGTAAGGTTGTGGCTTGCAGCGACATTGGCAGGTACACTACCGGGGTGTGAACACCTTGACTTGCGCTTAGCCTCTTGTCGACATCCTCATCTTGGCTCAAACCCGTGCCTCGCGCTTGCCAACCATGCGGCTGATCTGTGCCTAACTCTGGAGATTGAACTCACCCCTCCTCTTTTCACTTGCAGGTGCACCGCATACTCATGATTGTCCGGAGGTCGTCTATAGCCACACCCGCATTAGAGGGGCTGTTGGGACCGAAAAGCGACGGCGCTGCGCTTACATGGTAAGCTGAGTCATTTGTTTGTGCTGGGCTGGGTGACTTTCAGAAGCTTTTCTGGTCTGAAACTGGAATGTTTACGAGTAGTTGAACCAAGGTTCTGAGAAGCACGGTCCTTCATGGTCTGATGCAATTGAAGAGTTGGATCAGCGCAAAAACTGGACTGGCACGCCCTTGGGTGCTGGAAAAATCAGTCGATTCAACGGTCTCGTTTTTGGCAGGTTGGGCTCTCGCGATCCGCAACGTGGCCTTGGAATCCTCAGGCTTTTAGAACAGGTGAGTTCTCAGACTGATTTATTCTTGTATTGGCAAGCCACAAGGCGAAATTTGTGCTGTACGCTCGATGATTTCCCGATGGCTGTACATGCAGATCGTTCGATACTTGGTTAAGGCTCCTTTCAAGCTGAAAAAGTGCTTTCCGTTATTATAGCTGTTCTGTGGCCCGTTCAAGAATATCATTGAAAATGTTTTCAAAGCATTCTGTCCGGGAATAAGTCCATCCCACATCTTTACCTCGAGGTCTTGTCTGCATGGATTCACCTCCGTTTCTGCCTCTCACCACCTCCCAATTCGGTTGCCTCCTTGCTCTAATCACTTCCATAATCCGACGTAATTTCAATAAGGGGAGATACGCAAAGTTAGGCTGGCGTCTCTGTGTAAGGTTTGCATGCAGGAGATCTATAAAGACGACCCTGAAACATCTCTCGGCTGTATCCGCACAAGTGCCTGGAGCGAGCGTAGCAGAGAAATGCACGTCCTCAAACCCCAGAAGAGGAGCCCTGTCTCAAGCAGCCGTTTTGTCCAAGGCCAGGCGGAGTTGGACGTGATCACTCCATGCAATTTTCGAGGCCCTGTTTTGATGACGGCGTCTTCCTTGTCCAGCTCCTGTCAGCCATCGAGGCCGCGAGCAAGGCCCTGGGTGCGCTCCTCGCCCAGAGCTTTTTCATGCCCTTCGCCCTCACCGTGCTCGCCTGCCTGGCGCGCATTCACACCATTGCCTCTCAGGTGAGTGGTGCGGAGACCTTGTCATTAAACCAATTTCGGTTGTTAACCATTGTTTGGTCCGCAAACGTGTCTCGGATTGATGTTTCTGGTGAATGCTTGGACGGGAAATTCACCATCCTTCCTTAGGACTTTTGCGCTCCCAGGTCAATCGGCGCTCTTTATAACACTGGTCAATCAGGTAGAGGCAGATTCGTCACGTGTAAAGAGGTTCCGTTTACTCCTTCCGAGTTGAATACGTATATTCGCCCGAGTGCTTAGACAGTTATAATTGGTATCTGGTTTCGTTTACAATTACTACATGTTACTCAACCCAAAGGTCTGCCTCGTAGCTAGGAACCACTTGATATACAGATGGCGGAATCGGCGCGCTTCGAACTTTGTTGACCCTCTCGTAATCATCCACACTTTTCTCGCAGGCGGCTGAGAGATTCAAGGGGCGCGGTGACACGGCAACTGGCGAGCTCGAAGCGGCAAGGGATTCAACTGCGCCTTTTACTGCACGCAATCTCGTAAGTAAATGCGCGTTAGGGGAAGGGCTTTGCTTCTCCGGGATTCTTCAGAGGAACTTTTTCCGAGTTCAGCACCCTTTTGACTGATTTTAAACTTGCTTCACTTCGGCGAACTCCTGACTGATGCAGATACCTTTTCACGTCCACTTCTATGAGATTAAAAAACCCAGGGTATTACTTTTTTGTATTCGACTGGTCCTTCGTTATGGGTGATAAACTAATTGGTCACGTCATTTGGAACCGTTCTTCTTGTGGGTCTCGTGTTCAACTAGATTGGTGAGACTTGGTTTCCTGCCTTCCTCGTCAATCGACTTCCTGGTTTGACAGAAAAAAAATGCTTTTCTCAGACTTTGCTTAACACTTCTTTCTTGCGTCTGCTCTCAGGATCCACAGCTTTCCTCGGGCACTCCTCCTCCCGTTCAGCCCCTTCGACCAGAAGGCCCTGTTCACCCAGTAAGAGAAGCCCTGCAAGCCGCTGTTGTTCCAGAGCGCTATGAAATTGTGCCCGAAACGGGGCCCCCAGGCTTTTCCGTACCTCCTTTCGACATCAGGGGAGTTGACGAGACGGGAGCAGACGAAGGGGTGCTGGAAAGCCCACCGGCAAAGCGGGTCAGGTTAAGCGACGAAGAAAGAGGGTTAGTTGTACTACCAGGAGGCGTAAACGTACTGTCTCAAGAAGGGACTGCACAAGAGCATGGGATTGTGAGCAGCACTGCGGGAGGGTTACCATTAGAAACCGGGAAGGTCCCTCCCATTGGCAACGAGGAGGTTCTTAAAAGCGAAACAAGTATAAACCCGGTTAGTCAAACGGCGAAAGCGGACGAATTTGAGAGGAAGAAGCGGGCTGCAGCCTGGTTAGAGGATCTGGGATTGGAAGCGCGTACTCCGACCAAGAACACATTGCAGATTGAGAAGACGTTTTCCGGGCCGCAGGAACATCGAAAAAGCGGACCGTTGCAAGGATCCGTCACCAAAGACGCGTCGAAACTTAGAAATTTAGCTAGCGACTTGCTTGCAGGCACGGATTTTGAAGGGTTTGGGGGATCAGAAAGTGTTGAAAAACGTGGGAAGAAGAAATTGAGAAGGAACAGGGCTTGATTGTCTGCAAAATTATCCATGTCGAACATCAAGGCTCTCACAACGCTCAAAGCTTGCTGACCGGCCTTGGTCTCAGCGGTCAGCATGTCAAGATGTTCTTTTCGTTCGCCGGGGACCGATACTGCGATAGAGACGAAATCTGGCCCCCTTAGGAGGTTATGCGAGTTTCAGTAATCCATTGTATTCCAGGCTCGTATGAAAGCTTGATTCGACTTGACACTAGGGTCTGTATAGTAGAACCGTGAAGTTGGGGAGCATTATTCTAAATCACACGTACACGTCGATTGTAACCGTCCATTATCCAAACGAGGCTGGCGCCGGGTACTAAGAGTCATGTCGGAGGCCCTTCGGATATTGTGCTTTTTAAAAAATGTAGAGCCGATATCCCGCGTCACTTAGTGTTGCCTTTAATAATAGTAATAATAGGTGACATGCATAGTGAGTCTCTTGTCCCTCCTTGTTTTTTCTCACCATTTTGCATTGCACAGATCAGCCGGATCTGTGGGACCCCACCTGTGATAGGGTCAAACCTGATACTGGTGGAGTATCAGGTTATCCGCAGCTGCTTATAAGCCGTATACTTATGTATTATGTCCAAACCCTTAATTATACGAGGGTTTCGATGCGACACAGAGGCTACCTTGTGGTCTGGTTGGGCGGGTGACTGGGAAACGAAACCGAGGCCAAACCCTTGATTTCCGGTGGCTTATTCAAGTTATTGCTTCTGACGCTCTCGGGGCCGGGGAATGTTGCTCGATAGTGTGCGACGGGCAGCGTCAATCTTATGCCCGGTTCACATGCGTCCAATTTGCCGTGGTTTTGCCGGTTTTGTCCGACGTGGCAGCCCTAACTTTCCGGGACGCATGTGAACAGCTTTGAAGGATTCACTGAAAACTGGCTCCGACCAAGCTCAAAACCAGCAAGTCGACCGAAGACCGTCGACAACCACGCAAACTCAAAACCACGAATACGCAGCTTCAAAATCTGGTTTTGGTGGTTTTCGGTGGTTTTGGACTCGTGGTTTTGACCTACCGGGCACTTTTTACCAGTAAAAGTACTCACTATGCTCGGGGGACCAAATCCACGACCTCCGTGAGGACGGCGAGAGTTTTCGATGTCAGCTTTTCGAACGCAAAACCGTAGCTCCGGCCTGTCGCGAAGGGCTAGTTTTCAAATCGCCGGTTTTGCTCATGCAAAACCACGGATTTCGAAGACGCATGTGAACCGGGCATTAGTAGGTACATATCGTCCTTCAGTTTGAACCAGGGTTTTGCCAAAGGAAACTGGACCTGGCGGTCCTGGCCGACCAAGATGGGACCCCGGCCGGTGCAGAAGACGGCACCCCGCCGGCTGCTCAGCCGGCAGCTAGACATTGCATGGGCACTTGCTGTGCTAGGCCGGCCCGTAACGGTAACCTAACTACCGGGGGGCGCCGGCAGCTCAATTCAATTCAATTCAATTTATTTT